TCCATCTGGCCTCCTGAAGACTAGAGGTTTCCTGCTCCTCCAGGCCAGGGAAACCTAGACAGAGACAAGGTCTCAGAGTGGGGCCTGGGGATGGCCAGGGTAGCCGGCCTTGCACAAGCTGATAGAATATAAGAAGCCCCTGGTCCACTCAGATCCCTCCAGGCAGCCCAGTCATAGGGAGCCCAGCAGAGTTACATGCCCTGCTCAGCCCCACCTGTGTCCCCATTCCTACTGCCCATTTATAGTCCCACAGGCTGTCATGGGCAAGAAATAACAGCCTGAGAAGGGCAAGCACAGGGAAGCTTGCCAGGCCCTTCAGCCCATAGCTCCTGGCAGGAGTGGCCCTTTCCAGGATTTGGTCCCCACCACCCAACAAGGGACGTGGCCTGGAGGAAACTCAGGATCCCAGGCCTCCCCCCTCCCCCCAACACCCAACAACTAAATCTCTCAGATCTATCCATCCCCACTGGGATTCAGAACCCCCATCCACCCAGGGAAGTGGAGGGACAGACTCTCAGCCAAGTAGGGGGCCTAGTGGTCCAAAGAAGAGACTGTCTCTTTCCTTTTGTTTGCTCACAGGAGGGGGACAAATGCCCTGTGAGCACAGAGGTTTGATGTGACAACTTGATAGACCACATAAGGCTTTCAGCAAAGGCCTCCCGCCCCTGCTCTCCATGCATTAAGATAATGGTGGGGTGTGTGCCCCAGCACATTTCAGATCTTGGCCACAAAGGCCCTCCCTCCTCCTGTTTTCTTCCTCCAGCTCGGCTTGCCCACAGGTTCCCAGAGACTCTTGGAGGCTTGCTCTCAGGCAGAATGAAGTTGTGAGCTGCGTGGGCGGCAGTTAGACAGCGAGAGTGTTGCAGCCTTGTTAATGAGGGACAATAGCTCTTCTTGGAGCCATTAAGCCGCAGCTACAGAGATGGGGAACCCCAATTAGAAAGGAGTGAGAGGGGTAAAGGGAGGGCCTGAGAGACGCCTGTAGGACAGATCCATATCTTTGGTGGCTCTGTGGGACCCATGGGTGGAGATCTAGCTGGTTGGGTTTAGAATCTCCTTTCCTTGTAGTAAGATACCCCAGTGACTGTAGAGACAACCCATAGTGGTGACCCTTCAAAATACACAAGTTGAAGGAGGAGGAACAATTGTTGGGGAGAAGCATTTCTCCTTGAGTTTGTAGCTTGGATATTATAATCCAAGAGTAAGAAAGGAAATGATATTTCTTTAATTTGACGATGTCCTCAGTAAGTTCGGCTACTTTATATATATATATATGTGTGTGTGTGTATATATATATATATATATATATATACGCGCACACATATATATATGTATGTATATATGTGCATATGGATATTTGTATACAGCTGATAGCTCTCTCTTGTTCTGGCTTTTAACTGAATTACATTAGGTTTACAGCAAGATAATAATCCTGGATTTTCCATGGCTCAGTCTGTCAGAGTATAAGATTAGCTCTTGAATTCATTAGCAGTCATCTCCCCTTAAATGTCAGATAACGTTTTAAATGCCAAGAACTTACGCAACACCTTCTGTGCAATTCAAATCAGCTTTACCAAATTAGCTCATTAATCTTTATTGTTTCATTTACTGAAGAGAAAGACTTCCAAGTGTCTTTAGCAGAACATAAAAATATTAAAGTATTTACAGTACAATATAGGTGAATGAATGGGTTTTTATTTTCTGCTAAACATTTCACCCTTCCATCGGTTTTGTGATCGTTCCCACTAAAGCATACACATTAAAAACAAAAACAAAAAAGCTTCAGGCACCTCTGATTCCTTCTGCTTCCCTCATCTTCATTCCCTTCTATCTAACCTTGTGTTTTCTCCCTTCTTCACCTTCAGAGACCTGGACTCCTGTTCACTACTTATTCTGCAGTCTTTGCTCCCAAAATAGCCCAAGAGCTGCAAGTGTCCATTATGATGGCTCAGAAAACAGAGGGGTGCCTCACATGGTCAGAGATGGAGCCCAGGAGGCTGGGGCAGAACAGGCATTCAGGAATTCTACTTTCTTTTTCAAAGAATCCCTGCATGGTTTTACCTCTGAATAATCAGATACACTGACTGCTAAAGATAGATCCTTCCAGGACTGGCTCCTTATTGTCCCCAAGTTCTCTGCTCAAATGCCACCCCCTCAGAGAGGTCTTCCCTGATCACCCAAAGGCAAGTCCCACCCCCTCCCCATCAACCTCCATCCTATCACCATTTCATTGTTTTCATAGACTTACCACTACCTGAAATCATCCTACTCATTTATGTGTTTGTTTGTCTGACACATCAGTCAGTATCACCCAATAAATATCAGTTTAAAGAATAAATGAAAAGCCATCGCCAACGCCTGGCTTTCTTTCCTGGTTTCAACTTTCTGACTTTTTCTCTTTTCTCACTACCTCTTAGAATCCTCTTTATATATTCCATCTTTTCTTTCCTCCCATCTCCCAAACCCCCTTTCACTATCATTTATTTGTTAGGAGTCTTGAACATGATAAGCAAACAGTATTTCACATTCCAGTGACTACAGAGACTTCACTGAAAACATTTCATTAAGCTAGAATTGATGGCCCCTAGACAGTAGAGAGATGAGCCATATAGTCAAGAGAATTGTTTTATCAAAAGATTTATAGGTCAAGTGCTTTGGAGGGACTTTCTCAAAGCCTCCCAACTCCCCACTCTTCAATCTGAATCCCACATAAGGAGTTAAAGTAATTCCAGCCGTTGGAACTGGTCTTGGCGATGCCTTTTGTCTTCTAGCCCAACACAGAATTGTCTCTTGGAGATAATGGAGAAATTTCCCTTAAATCAATGTTGTCAGATTTCTATTATTCCACCCAGTGATTCATGAAGCTAGAAAGCTTGAAATGCTTTGTCTAATTCTAGCTGGGGACAAAATGCTTTCATTTGATCTAGAAACAGGGAGGGGCTGTCTTACCCCAAGAAGCTAATCCGATATGTGGCTGAGATGACCAAAAAACAAAAAAAAATTGGATATGTGTTTGTCCAGAAACTCTTCATCTCTAACTACATTTCAAAACAAAGGAATGGGGTGTGGATGTTCATTGGAATGATGGCTGCTTGTGGGGACCCACCAACTGTTAATTCATCATTAATACTTAAAAGTAATATAAATGTTAGGGGAGGGAGCGTTTATGACAGCCCAGAGAAACAGACATCCGAGAGTTAGTCTCCTAGAAAATATGGAAATGATCAAGTCCACACCCAGGGTGATCTCATGGAGCACTAATGTGTGCGACCCCAGCAAATCAGCCCTGAAAAATAACTTTCCTCTTTGGGAATGCGGAGCCGGAGCTACACAGGGGACAGGTCAGCACATGCCTCCTGTAACGGTGTCTTCCCTGGCCCTCTGCATTTGAACTGAGCTGGGCCATGGCAGGTAGCTTGTCCCCAGTACAATCGTGATTCTTTTGTTCAGCAAATATGATTCAGATGAGTATGCATTCCCGGACCCTGTGCCAGGCGCCACTGTCACAGGGGGACAGAACGGCCTGGTTCCTGCCCTCGTGGAGCTTACAGTCTACTGGGGAGGCTGGGTAGCTACACAGCATGAGCATCACTGTGGACAATGCGGGGATGCTCAATGCCCTGGGATGCCATGGGCAGGACCGATAGCCAGACTGAAGGATGGGGAGGAATCAGAAGGGAGGAGCGTGTTCCCAGGAGAAGGAGGCGCGTGTCTGGTGGCCTCGTCGGGGAACCGCAAGGTCAGTGTTGATAGCAGCCCTTTGAACTTGCTGCTCCCTCGGCGAGGGAAGCCCGTCCCTGGGAGAGCCCCGCAGAGCCTTCCTTCACTGTCCGCAGAGCTCAAACGTTGCTTTCTCTTTCTCATGGGGCCTTCCCTGGCATCCCCTCTTAAAATTGCAGCCTCCACCGCCATTCCCAGATTCTCCCCACTCCCCTCTCCGCTTTATTTTCCTCTATATCACGAATCACCTCCAGACATAACTCATGTTCCACTTGCTTACTATCTCCTCCCTCTCAGCGGAATGTATGTGCAATTTCATGAGGGTGGAGACTTCTGTCTGCTTCTTCCACCGCAGTATCTGCTCTGCCGGGCCTAGAAAAGGCCCTCAATAAATATTTGTTGAATGACTAAATGAGGCAGGAGAGAAAGTCCAGGGCCAGGCAGGAAGGGTCTTGGAAACCTTTTAAGCTGGTTGGCCTGCATCCTGAGGGCAAGGGCCTTTGAAGGTTTTGAGCAGAGGACTGATACCGGTTTGCATCTTGGAACGATCACCCATGTTGCCATAGGGGGCTTGGGCTGGGGAGCAACTTCAGATCGAGCTTTGTAGTGCACTGAAACATGACACCATTTGCATGTTGTGGCGACAGGAGAAGGCGTAGCCCCAAAGACTGCAGAGCCCCCGGGGCCTCCCAGACTCCTCTATTAGTTCATTCTTCCTTCCCTCTCTGCTCGATGTGTTCAAATCACTCTCCCTAACACAGCAAACAGGTGAAGTTTGGAAATAAACTGGAACCTTGCTATAACTTTATTTGCTGCAAGGCAGATTTCCTAATGATTCATGCTATAGAAGAATCAAAACGACCTCATTAAAAAAGGAGTCTTGGAAAGATGGTGATTTCAGCTCTGTCATTTACCCACTGTGTGGTTTTGGGCAAGTTACTTAACCTCCTAGAGCCTCCGGTTCCTCATCTGTGAAATGGGAATAAGAGTACCTGCCTCATAGGGTTGTTGTGAGGATTAAACAAAGTGATTACAACCCTGAGTGGTGAGGTGCCTTTCTCACTTTCCCATTACACCAGCTCCAGGTATGAATTAATAACCAGTCTCGGATTATTCTGTGTACATATGGTCCCCTGTGTCTTCCATGGTAAAAATAGGTGTTACTATTAGTGTTCCAACGATGAAAAATCACTTTCTATAAATATTTGGGGATTTGGACAAGCTCTGGTCGCACTGTATATCATTCCAATGAAAGGTGGGCTTTCTGCTTCTCTTCACAGGCAGCCCAGCAGTCCTTGGAGGCAGCAGCTCAGAAGACAGAAGAGCCTCAAAGTTGTATAAATAAAGGGCTGATATGTTCAAACAGAAAAGAATTTTACACGCGCAAGCTGCACATCGACATGACGCTGTTCCTGAAGGTGATCTCACACTGAGAAGACGAGGGGTTTTATAGGCACATACACAGGCATCCCAGTTAATATACTTCTGCATGCTACAAAAACAGCTTCAGAAGTCCCTCAGAGTTCCTGCTTTATCAGAAGGGACAGAAAATAGGCAGTTTGTAGCAGATGAAGAAAGAACAAATTAGGACAGTAATCACAGCCAGCTGTTGGGGACAAATCAGTTGGGTAGCTGGTTTGGATGGTAGGGACAGGGAACAGAGAGGAGAAAGGATAACCTTGAACTTGAGCCACCTCATAAAACAGGTAAATATAATTCATTTTATCTTGACAGTATCAGCTCAAATAATTGTTACCGTTTTACCATTGTAACTTGGTAGAGCTGATAGTCCTACTGTAGCAAGACTGATTCTTGAGTTAACTATTTAGAAGTCAACTGCAGATCTTCTTCTGGATGTCTAATCCTGTTTTCTATTCTCCCAAGCTCAGCTTCACATCTAGTTAAGAGTACTGAGAGTTCCTGTTGTAGGGATGTCATTTGTCCATCCTTGCAATACCCTTCCTGCCCCAACTAACACAACACCTGGCACATGGGAGTTGGTCAATAAACACCCCATAAATTGATCCCTCTTTTCATCCCACAGCCCTCTGGCTTAGGGTCCTCTTCCCACCCATTCTTTGCACACCTCAGAGCTGAATGAACTGGAAATAAATGACCATGGAGTAAAGGAAAGTGATCAGGAACAAAACAAGTCTTGGCATGGAAGGATCTCAGGTCCTTCATGCTACCATTGAAGACAAAATCCCAGCTCTTTGATAGAAGCAACAAGGAAAGACAGAAACAGAGAAGAAACCAAATGCTTGTGGCTTTTAGCCAGTGCTGGCAGAGACTTTGGAGACCATGAGGGTCACCCTCCTAACCTCAGCTAATCCAGAGTTCTCATGTGACATCTCTGGGTGACCCCAGTCTCAGCTCTGCAAGGTTGGGCTTTGATTAAGAGCCATGTAGTTGGCCCCAGTCTTTTCTCTGCATGGCTGGGCTCTGCTTTCCCCTGCTTCCTCTTAGATAGGCTCTTTCCCCATGGTGGCAAGATGACCACCGGCTTCTCTTTTCTAGATCATTCCAGAACAGAATCTCATTGGCCCAACTTGGGTCACATGCTCATGCCCAAATGAATCAACGTGGCCGGGGAATGGAACACACTGACTGGCCCAGCCTGAAGCCACAGGGACTAGGGGAAAATTGAATCTTAAAATCTGAGTAAGAGAATGATTCTTGGCAAAGAAAGATATTTGCTACAAGCATTCAAAATAATTTCCTTGATTTATTACTTATAATAATAGTTTGGTGGGGCAACTATAACAAAGTACTATAGACTAAGTGGCTTAAACAACAGAAATTTATTTTCTCACAATTCTGGAGGTTAGAAGTCCAAGATAAAGGTTTCAGCAGGTTTGATTTCTTCTGAGGCCTTTCTCATTGGCTTGTAAATGGCCTTCCTCCCATTGAGTCTTCACATGATCTTCCCTTCATGTGTGTCTGTGTCTTAATCTCTTCTTATAAGGACACCAGTCATAGTGAATTAGAGCCCACTCTGATGATCTCATTTTACCTCTTTAATAACCCTATCTCCAAATGCAGTGACATTCTGAGGTACTGAGGGTAGACTTTAACATATGAATTTTGGAGGAACACAGTTCAGCCCGTAATAGGCTGACTGATCCCTGCTAAGAGCCAGGCCTCTTACATACTCAACCATATTTAATTTTTCCCACCCCCTTCTTGGTAAGTGTACAGAACACCACTGTACAGGTGAGGAAACTGAGGATTGCTGAGATGAGATGATGACTGGTGACAAGGCTGGCAGTGGAAGGAGCTAGGATTCAAAGCCACAAAACCTACAATACCTTATGTCGATGAGGTCTCCCTATACTGTTCCTGTGAAGAATTTAATTGTACATCTTTGTTCTGGCTTCAGAACCTGGGAGAGGAGTGGAGATTTAATATATTTTAATATTAATCACACAAAATACCTTATAATTTTTCATAAATCATTTTTCTTTTTTAAAGAAAAAGTATGAGATCTTTTTAATACACATGAAAAGTTGTATTATCTTGAAGTTGAAACTCTCAAATGAGATACTGATTCTCTTCCATCATTAAGAAGGTATTGAAATTAGTCTTTTGGATGCAAGTGTTACATGGTGTTACACAGAATTTCCTAATGTATTTTCCTAATTAAGCCCTTTTAAGAATTCTGTACAATATTTATTATCACTCCCATTTCACAGATGAAAAGGCTGAGTTCAACAATAGGTCATACAGCCGGCTGACAGCCAACTGGAGCCCCATGTCTGACTCCTGCACCCCATACTCCTCCATCCTTCCCACAGTTCCTTCTGAAAGCCCGCTGTGGGCCTAGAAGTACATGCTCAGATGGGGCGTTGTGCATGAGGGGAGAGGGCAGGTGTGAGGTTCTCCAAGGACAGATGAGAATTTAAGGTCACCTGGCCCACCGCTGCCAGTTGAAGAAACTAAGGCTCAGAGGTTACGTAACTTGAATCATCTGTAAGGCAGGAGGGTAGGTGAGAGTCGGCTTCAGCGCAGGCAGGCAGGCTCCCGGATCCCCACCCCAACTGTCTCTCTGGTTTCAGTGCTGCAGTTTGTGTTAACAAAATGTTTGTTTCTATCTTCACCCGCCACCACCCTCCCCAGCCCTACAATAACAAACTGCTGCCAGTGCTTTTTCTAATTCAGCTTAGTCATATCCCTGGTCTGCTTGAGATTTCTTACCATGTCCCCATTAGCCTTCAGGTTAAATCCCAGCATCAGAGATGTATTTCTTTTATAAATAGAAAAATATAACAAATGCAATTTTTTTTAAAACTCCAAACTGCATCATGCAAGATCTGGCCTATGTCTGATTCACACTGTCCATGCGCTGCAGACACACCAAACTACCCCCTAACCTGCACGCTGCTTCCTCCTCTGGGAAGTGCCCTACCTCCCCTTCCCTGCAAGACTTAGCACCAGATCCACTGCTAAACAAACCTTCCCTGGCCTAATTTAGCTTCACCTCTTGAGGTCCCGCAGAAAACTATCATAATCTCTCACAACATTTATCACACTGCATTGCAACGGTTGAGATTTCCTGTTGTTTTTCTGCAAGTCAGTGAGCTTCTAACAAATAGGTCTTTCAGTTTGGTTCCCCCAATGCCTAGCACAGTGCCTGGCACACAACAGACACTCAATAAATGTTCATAAGCTGAATGAGCAGATGAAGAGCAAATGACTTGGCCAGAAAAATAGAGCTGGGATTTGAATTTTCAGTCCTTTAGTTTGTTTCACTCACCAAATAGTCAATCACTCCTTTTAGCCATTGCATTTGTAACTCATATTAAAAGTGACAGATAGCATTTTGTTTGGTTTTAGTTTTCAATTCAAATTCAGAATCCAAAATACACCCAGAAGGTTTTAAAATTTTAAGTATAAAATGATATGTCTCCCAACTGCTCAGTTCCCTTACCCTGGGACACTACTGTTGCTAGTTCCTGAGTTGTAGTATGCATATATAAGCCAATACAAACAGATAAATACACAGAGAGGTAGATATTTTGAACACATTTTAACATATTGCACACATTGTTCACAGTCTTACTTAGTTTACTTAATATATCTTGGAGTTTCCTCCATGTTAATTCGTAAAAAGATGCTTTTTAACAGTTGCATAGTATTCCATTGTGTGAATTCTTATAATTTATTTGACAAGTCCCCAATCAATGAGACATTTAGGTTGTTTACAATCTCTTGAAATGAATGACCTTATATATAAGTCATTTCACATGTATGTTTGTATATGTAAAAATGATAGCTTTTTGGACACTCGTCTAAGCAACAGACAAAATTCTAAATCAAGGCTAATTCTTTTTCTAACAGGGTCTCACCAAAACATTCTTTCCAAACCCCCGATTCTCTCTTCCTCCATCTTCCCATCTGTGAAATGAGGAGAATATTTCTTGCCCCTGAAGGCTCACAGCTGCATGTTAAGATTCAAGGTTTATCCTTCTTGGCTTCAAAATTCTTCCAAAGGGGGATGCTTATTTCTTCCTTTTAACCCAATTTCCTGTTAGATTAAGAGGATTTATAAACAGGAACTTTTTAAATGTATCTTCTTTCTAGTCTTCTAACTCAGCAGTTTACTATGACTAAGGCAGGTTTTTCTTGCAATAATTTTTTTAAAACCTCTCCATTTATTCAGGGATGAATTTTTTATTGCCTTAGGGCAAATCTGCTTTGTCTCCACAATGAGAAGTACAAAAGAAAATTACTTAACTGCTCTAGCTTTTTTATGTCAGAATATCTCGTCAGCTACAAATACTAAGTTAACAAGTAAGAAACATGCAGGGTAAAACGCCCTCCAGTGAGAAGAAAATGTCAAACAAATTAGCAGGTAATTAATCATCTCTTCCCAAAGCAGTTTGGGTATTTGATAATAAACTGAAAAACTGATTGTCACTAAAGGGACTTCCAGGGCCCTCCACATCAGATTCCTTCTCTATAGCTGAAAAGAAGCTGTGGACTAATTAGAGATCCAGGGGACAAAGGCCAAGAGCTGGCTTCATCAGACACACAGGGCTTTACTTGGGGTCTCGGACTCTACCTGGCACATTTCTTTGGCTACTAAAGAGCTGCTATTCCAGCACTTTAGAGAAGATTCGTGATTCTCAATTCTAGCTACATATTGGAATCATCCAAGAAGCCTTAAAAATGCCTGAGCTCCAGAAAGTCTGATTTTAATGTTTGGAGTTAGACCCTGGGAATTATATTTTTTAAAACTCCATGAAGAATTCTAATATACGGCCAGGATTGAGAACCACTGTTATGGAGATTTCTGGACAGTGGGATTGCAAGCAGCTTGTGTGACAGAGAAAGAAAGAAGAGGGGATTAAATGTTATAAGAAACCCAACCTGTGATAATCTTAGAAACTCCACAAAAGGCCAATCTCACCCTTTTGCTCCCCTACTTTAAACCTTCAGTGCCTTCCATTGGTTCCCAAGATAAAGACCGAAGTCCTTACCCTACTCTCAAGACCTAGGAGATCTGACTCCTTCCCACCCTTCCCACTTCTCTCAGACTCTGCTCTCATCACACTGGTCCTCCCTCAAGTCCTTGGAGGTACCCCGCTTCCTTCCACCAGTTGGTCTTAGCCTGTGACATTCTTCTCCCTGGGACCTCCCAACCCCCTCGCCCCACCTCCACTGCAGTTAACACTTATAAATGCCAGGCATTGGACCCTGCACAGATACACGAGATGAACCTCCTACAAGAGGACAACTAAGAATCTAAAAGTGCTCAATGCTGTGGCTAAGCCGCCTTGCTTTTCAGCTGTTCACAACGGTAGCAGATTTCTTGGACACTTAAGTTAAAATAAGATGACAAAGAAAGAGAAGAAACAACTGATAAAATTGGATTCCTTTTTACCAAAAGGCATGGACCACAAGAGTATTTGCACTTATTTTGTCTGATGCACTTTTGTTGTGTGTTAACTGAACAGGAAAGTGGAGATGAACTGGACTATCATGAAGAATCAGGAGGACCCCTCAGAGAAAATCATCAAGACACCCAAGGTAGAGACAGCTGGCTTGGGTTTTATAATCTTCTTGTGATAATTGTTGGGTGAAGTTTGCTCTGCTCAAAGATGTTCATGGGGAATGACCCTTCCATTTTCTCTCAGGTCATGGGATGGAGTCAGAATACAGACCACAGTGCTGAGTTCTGACTCTGATGTGTTCCTAGCACATCACTAGCCAACTGATGAGTACATGCTTTGATGGCCTTGCACTTACTGAATGATGTCTTTCCTGCCAGTGGCTGCAGATGGATGGAAGAGAGTGGAGACTTTGGGGTCATTACAAAAATACCTCACAGGCACTTCCATCTTTGTTTTTCCTGCTTTTACAGGGGCTTGGATATGCAGGTGAGGGAGCTGAGGTTCCCTGCCTAGAGGGATAATATTCCAACAGATGGGGAAGAGCATCTTTAGAGACCCCACCCACAGCTCGAGGTAGCCAGAGCTGCTCGTGTGGCTTCCTCCAAAAATGATGCTCCATTTGATAATGATGATGATTCTAGGAAATATTGGGCCCAGAACTGGGCTTTTTGGCATAATTCATATTCCCCAACTCTGAACGAGACGCTAAGCTCTTCCCTGGGGTATCTGGGTGTGCTGCTGTGTGATGCTGCAGTTGGCTAGGCTCAGGTAGCAGAGCTGTCCTTTCTCCTTGCTGCTTCGTGCAGGAGTGGAAATGTGGGACTCTTGAGGTCTCACGGAGTGGATGCAGGGTGACCAGCCAGGACGGGGCTTATCATTTGCTATACAAAGGTGTCCAGCAGAGGGAGCAAGTACAAGCTAAAATCCTGCTCTCCCTCCTAAACCAGGCACCCAGCCCTGGGTGCAAGGGGCTCCTTTTCCCACCTGGCTCTTCTACTGGGGTGCCTTTCTCTAATTCACATGAGATGCTCTGCAGGCTAACAGCAACAATCTGAGCAGCTGAGTGGAGAACATGGGCTCTGGAGTTGGACTACCTCCACCTTAACCTCTCTGTGCCTCAGTGCCCTCCACTGAAGCTAAAAACAGTACTCCCTTCATAAGGCTGCCTGAGGAATAAATGAAGCAATTCCTGTACAATAGTCCTTTAGTGAATATTCATCTCAAGTTGGATATCACAATGATTACCAATCTGAAATGAGACCACGGCTCCCTATAGCATCCTGGACTCCATGGGTGACAGAGACCATACGAGCTCACTGGAGATAAATGTGCAAAGTCATGGACTTGGTTTCACCCTAAATGTGATCTTTTTCTGTTTTCATCTTTTACTATTACTTTCACTTGACATTTTAGACGAAAATAATTTTCATATTCATTTAAAAAGATTCCACTGCTTTTGGGTATCAGACAATAAAATATTATGGCAGCCCAATCCCTGGGTTTGGCCAAGCTTTTAAGCAAGGTTTCTGCTAACGTAAGTATCCTGTCACCCCCATTTTCAAAACTGAGTGACAGGGAAACGCGTTCCAGTCCTCCGATCTTCTGTATCATAAATCGCATGTGCAGAATGTGAATACTGACAAGGCTCCCAGGTTCCAGCCAAGTGCAATAGAGGTTTAAACAGCACAGAACACAGCCAAATCTAAGCAATGACCAAGTCAGTCAAACAGATTGCCTGTCTCATGACAGCGGGACAGGCTGAGACTGAGTTCCATAAAGGTTATTCACACAGTCCTTCATGCAGTGAAAAATCACTGCAGAAAATTAAAGAAGGCATTTGTCTGTCCTGAATGATAAATGCTAATGTTTAAAAAGAATTTTAGCCTGGCCGGGTGTGGCTCAGTGGTTGAGCATCAATCTAGGAACCTAGGATCCAAGAGATCATGTTTCAATTCCCAGTCAGGGCACATGCCCGGGTTGCAGGCTTGATACCCAGTCGGGGGTGTGCAGGAGGCAGCCAATCAATGACGACTCTCTCATCACTGATGTTTCTATCTCTCTCTCCCTCTCCCTTCCTCTCTCTGAAAGCAATAAAATTTTTTTTTTTTAATTGTTAAAAAGGATTTTAAATCTTTTAAAAAGAACGGGTGTGGAAGGATTGGAGGTCACCGTTTAGGCAGTATTACAGTGATTGAGAGCGCTGACTCTCAAGTCTGATTCCCTGAGTTTAAACCTTGACTCCACCACTTACTGTGTGGACTTGAGTAAGTTACTGAACTTCTCTGGGCATTTTTTCTTTCACCATCTGTAAAATGGAGACACTAACAGTACTTATCTCATGGGGTAGTTGTGACATCAAGGAGTTAATACGTGAAATGTGCTTATAAGAATGCCTGGTGCCAAGTAAGTGCTCACTAAAGGTTAGCTGTTAGTCTGTTTCTTTAAGACTTTTATTTTAGTAGTCATAAATTGCACTTTGTCAGGAGGGACTTGCTCTAAGTTGATAGCATAATGATTTCTTTACTTTCCAAATCGGCCTCAGTGGGGTGGGGCTTGCTCTTGGAGGACTGACTGAATCCCTGTGTAGGCCATTTTTTGCATAAGTCCAGGTATGGGCAGGAAGCTCAGCCTGAAGGAAGCAGCCTCGCCAGCCTCTACATTCTGTGACAGGTTATGTGCCAGTTTCTCTGGTTTTATTCTCTCTGCAGCCTTACAAGGTAAAGTACATTATCCCTGTTTCACAGATACGAAAAGTAAGGCTCAGAGAAGCTAGATAACCTACCCAAGGTAACAGCCAGTAAGTGGAGAAGCTGAGATGTGAACCCCGGTTCCCACGACACCAAGGCGCTTGTGAGTGTTTAGTTCAATTTAGTTTTGTTCTCAAGGCCTTTCCTCAGGGGCGGTTCCTGGCTCAGGAGTAAACAGCTCCAGAAGAAACGAGTGTAATGACTGCCCAACCTGTGCGAAAAAGTAAAGGCTAGCCAGTGTTGGAAAAGTTTCTCCTAAAGCTGGGGAGAAAACAGGGAGACCAGAAGTGTGTACCCGGAAGGTGAGGCGGTGCCCCTGCCCCAGAATCTACAGCCTGGAAGGTGGCACCACTGTAGAGTGTCGCCTCGTGGTGTTGGTCGGGGCTCCTTGCTTCTCGCATAGCTGCGTGCGAGGCCCACGCGGCCACTGAACACGGCCAGGCTCTGCTGCCTGGAGCCCCGGCACTAGGTTCAGAAGAGCCTGCTACTTAGCACACCAGATGACCTACACACTCTGTTGCTGCTTTATTTCTCCCTCTGGGAAGCATTTCAGGGTACTCCAGAGTGGGAACTGGTGCCTCCTTAAGAATGTTTCTGGCTCGCTCCACTCAGCCCAGGATGGAAACCCCAGGGAAATCCCAAGAATCCCAGAACACAGCTATTGCCCCTTGATCCTGAAAAAGCTCTTCACCTTCCAGGAAGTAAAGCTCATTCCTAACTTGAAACCAAATTCTTCAAAACCAAAAGCAGTTGAAACTAGAGGCAAGGACAACATAAGAAAGGAAATTTATAGACCAATCTCACTTATGATCAAAGGTGTAAAACTCCTAATAAAATATTAGCCAATTAAATCCTTAAGCATAGACATATATACATATATATGTATATATATAATGACTGAATTCAGTTTGCCCCAAGAATTCATAAAAGATGGTCTAATATTAGAAAATCTGTTTATATAATTCACATCAAGAGGTTAAAGGGGAAAAACCTTAGTGTCCTCTCAATAGATGCAAAAGGAAAAATAAATTTGTAAAGTTCACCTATTATGGAACTAGGACTAGAAGAGGACTTCCTGATTTTGATAAAGAGTATCTACCAAAAACCTGCAGTAAACATCACACTTCAATGGGAGAACCTTAGAAGCATTCTATCTCCAGACAGGACTGGGATAAAGATGCCCCCTCTCATTGTTTCTGTTTCAACACTGTACCAGCACAGTAGGGAAAGCAAAAGAAAGGAAAAGTAAAAGGATGGAAAGGAGGAAATAACAGTCATTATTCCCAGAAAACAGTATTACTTACATGGGAAATCTGAGGGCCTCTACAGATAAGCTATTAAAAGACAAACCAAAAGCAATCAGCAAGATTACTAAATATAGATCAATAAATAAAAATCAATGGTGGGGGAAATCGTGCTTTAAAACATAAAGCATGATTCATAATGCAGTTTTGAAATAACTGTTATTATGGAAAACCCCAAACATACACAAAGGTGAACAGAACAGTACAGTGAATCCCATGTCCCCATCTCCTGGCCAATGTTGTTCACCTACATCCCCAACTCTTTCCTCCTTTCCGTATTATTGTGAAACACATTGCAAGCTCATATCATTTTACCCATATACACTTGAGTAAGTATCTCTAAAAGATAAGAAAAAACTCTTTTGACATAACCACAGCTGCATCACTATTTCACCTAAGAATTAGAACTATTCTTTAATGTAACTAAATATTCAATCATTTTTATCAATGTCCTAATTGTTTTGTAATTGTTACAACTGTTTCAGAATTCATTTGCAATGGGTTATATGACATTTAAGTCTTATTTCATTTATAGGTTTCCCTTTTAGTTTATTTTTAGGAAATTGGGTCATTCGTTCTGTAGAGTTTCCCGCAACTAGATGTTGCTGATTGCATTCTCATGGTGTAGGTCCACAAGTTTCTCTGTCTTCTATGGTTCCTTTAAGTTAGTACTTAGATCTAGAGACTTGATCAGACTCAGATTCGATTTTTCCTTTTGGCAAGTCCACTTCGTAGAGGGCGTTGTGCTCTTCCATCAGGAAACATAATATTTGCTCGTCTCTTCATGATGCCAGTAGATACATATCCATTAATGCATGAGAGGCTGCAAAATAGTGATGTTGGAATTCTATCATTCTTTCTTCACTTATTACGTGGAAAACCCTTTTTTTTTTTTTTTTAATTTATCTTTATTGTTGAGAGTATTACAAGTGTCCCATTTTTCCCCCCAGTTGACCCCCTCCACTTTGTTCCCATCCCCAGGCCTTCACCCCGTTATTAACTGTGTCCATGGGTTATGCATATAACTTCTTTGGTTAATCTCTTCCCACCCTCCACCCTCTTCCCTCTTTCCTCTGAAATATGAT